GGGAGGATCAGAGGGAGAAGCAGACTCCCTGCCGAGCAGGGAGCCCGATGCGGGACTCGATCCCGGGACTCCAGGATCATGACCTGAGCTGAAGGCAGTTGCCTAACCAACTGAGCCACCCAGGCGCCCCCCATCTCAGCCATTTCTAAGTGTATCGTTCAGGGGTGCTAAGTACATTCACATTGTTATGAAACAGATCTCCAGAACTTTTTCATCTTGTAAATCTGAGACTCTGTACCCATTAAACAACTCTCCATTCACCCCCAGCTACTGGCAGCCAATATCCTACCTCCTGTTTCTATGAATTTGACTACTTTAGATACCTCACGTAAGTGGACTCATTCAGTATTTGTCTTTTTGTGACCAGCTTGTTTCATGTAGCATAATGTCTCCAAGGCTCATGGTGTCATGTGAATCACATGTCATCCATGTGATGACAGGATTTCCTTCCTTTTTAAGGCTGAATAATATCCATTGTATGGATATACCATATTTTTAAAAGATTTTATTTTCATTTTTTTTTAAGATTTTTTTAAAGTAATCTCTGCAGCCAATGTGGGGCTCAGACTCACAACCCCAAGATCAAGAGTCACATGCTCTACCAACTGAGCCAGTCAGACACACCAAATGTACCACATTTTATTTATTCATTTATCCCTCAGTGGATTTTTGGGTTGCTTCTACTTCTTGGCTCTTATGAAGAGTACTGTGATGATCATTGGTGTACAAATATCTCTTCAAGATACTCTTTCAGATATATACCCAGAAGTGGGACTTCTAGATCATATGGTAGTTCTATTTTTAATTTTTTTGAGAAACTGCCATACTATTTTCCACAGCCGCTGCACCATTTTACATTTCCACCGACAGGACACAAGGACAACAGTTATTCTTACTTAGCTCAGCTTGGGCATCAGGACAACGCTGGCATTCAGCCTTCCAAAGAACAAATACAAATGATAGATAGCTCTGAACCAAGTCAAATTTAGTAGGATCATTTAATTCTTCAATAAAAAAAACCCAACTCTGACGGTTGATTTAAAAGTATGACTCTGCTACATTCCTCATCTTTCCAGCTGGCAAAGAAGCATGACATGGTGGTGGTATCTCCTATCCTGGAACGAGACAGAGAGCACGGGGACGTTCTGTGGAACACAGCCGTGGTGATCTCCAATTCCGGAGCAGTCCTGGGAAAGACCAGGAAAAACCACATCCCCAGAGTGGGCGACTTCAACGAGGTGAGCCAGCCCTACAAAAACCCGCTCAGCTTACTGGCCCTTCGGTCCACACCTGCCTGCGGATCTTTCCACGAGGGAAATCCTGTGTTGGATCATGTCCTGTCACACAACACTGGAACACAGTATGGCTGTAGTGATCACATGGAGAGATGAGATTTGAATGGGACTCCTGGGTGAGTCCCAAACACCAAGCACAGAGGGATATTTCTTTTTTTTAAA